CTGGTAGTTGTTGGGAGCACTAAGCTCCCAATAGTTGTTGGGAGCACTAAGCTCCCAACAACTACCAGTATAGGCGGGGGGATGAGTCGCTCGGGGGGATGAGTCGCTCGCGTCCGTAGGCTTCGACCACCAAACCTTAGGCCCACCCTACACGTGTCCCCCGGGTGGTGCTAAACGAGCGACAAAGCCGAAAAAAAATAGACTAGGCTTCCCGCCGTGTGGTAGCGGCGTAAAATCTACCACCACCCCTTGTTCGCACCATGAGTTAGGAGATAAAAGAAATGGCCCCGAGTTCCCGGCGCCCCTTTAATGGGGCAGGGGTGCGAAGAATCTCCGGGAGAAAAACCGGCGACGAGGTTCGCCACCCGTCACGTTCTGTCGCCCGGAGGGGCGAAAAGTGGATTGCGGAAGCCCGTCTGGATACGCTGAATGTATGTGGAGCAATGAATGATAAGATGGATGAAGTATGCGAAATGATGAATGACAGAGGAATAGATGTGTTATGTGTAAATGAGACGAAACGAAAGGGAAAGGATGCCACTGCACATGGCACGTATACCGCGTATTGGTCTGGTGTAGACGAGACCGAACGGGCATGCCAGGGAGTCGGTTTCATCCTTTCAGAAAGAATGGGTCAATGTGTGAAAGAGTATGAATGTGTAAGCCCGAGGCTGCTATGGATACGAATGAAAGTGGGCTTAAAGAACCTGTTCTTGCTAGGGGTGTACGCCCCAGACATGTCTAAGCCCACTTACATCCGAGAGCAGTTTTTGGACATGGTAAGGATGGTGTTGACAAAATGTAAGGAAAATGAAAATATTATTATGTTAGGAGACTTTAATGGAAGGGTTGGGGTGAAGAGGTCTGGTTATGAAAGGATATTGGGAACGTTTGGTGATGAAAGTATAAATGAGAATGGTGAAGACCTCCTCACCGTATGTGTTGAAAAGAATCTCTTTGTGACGAATACTTTTTTTCGTCATAAGAAGATTCATATGTATACATGGGAAAGAGGTGATGATAGAAGCATGATAGATTTCGTAATTGTGGATGAAAAAATGAGGAGCGCAGTCGTAGATATAAGGGTTTACCGGGGGGTCCAACGTAGGGACGGATCATTACTTGGTCTTATGTCGAATTAATGGTCTTTTCAAGCGTTGGCGGCATCGGACATCTGTGTCTACCACTGCGTTACAGCGTATAAGAATAGAGAAGTTACAAGATGAAGATGTGAAAGAGAAGTATAAATGTAGACTGAGAGAAAATATTAGGTGTTTGAATGAGTTGTGTATGAATGATTTAGACTTGAATACTGTGTGGGATAATATTAAGAAAGGTTTGGTGGATGCAGCCACCGAAGTATGTGGTGTAAGTAAGAGAACAAATGAAAGGAAAAGGAATACGTTGTGGTGGGATGATGAGGTGCGGGTGGAAGTTGAATCAAAGAAGAAAGCATGGTTAGATTTACTAGCAACTAAAACTGGTAATTCTGGTGGTATGAATGATGAGATTGAAAGAAAAAAGGCAGAATTTAGACGTCTAAATAAGAAAGTAAAAGAAGTAGTTGAAAGGAAAAAGAAAGAAAGAACGGATAAGAATGATAGAAGGATATCTGATAATTTCCAGGCTAATATAAAAATGTTCTGGAAACTCGTAAGAACTGCCAGGGGAAATACAAAACAGCCTATAATTAATGCTATAAGAGACGAGAATGGATGTATTCTGAATAATGAAGTTTCGAATTTAAACAGATGGAAGTCGTCTGAATTAAATGAACAAGAAATTCCGAAAGAAGTGGAAAGGGGTATGGAGATAAGTGTAGATGAAATAATGAAAGCAATGAAAAGCATGAAAGCAGGTAAGGCAGCTGGATATGATAGAGTATCACTCGAGATGCTAAGGGCTGGAGAGGGAGTGGTGGCAGGCCTGCTGTACACCTTGTTTAATTTATGTTGGGAATTGAAACGGGTGACTGGTATAAAGCAGTTATAGTACCAATATATAAAGAAAAAGGGTCACAGCAGGACTGCAAAAACTACCGTGGTATCAGCTTGCTTAGTATTGTGGGTATAGGGCTAAGGTGTTAATTGAAAGAGTTATGAAAGAAACTGATGGAAAAATTTGGGATGTGCAAGCGGGTTTTAGGAAGGGAATGGGGTGTACAGATCAAGTCTTTTCCATGCGCATGATTGCGGAGAAGTTTTTTGCTAAAAACCAGAAAGTTTTTTGTGCGTTCATGGACTTGAAAAAGGCTTATAACAGAGTGGACAGGAATGTACTATGGTAAACACTGAACTCATATGGGTTGAGCGCTGGTTTGATACAGGCATTGAGGTCTCTTTATAGGGATTCTAGTGCTTGTGTCAGGATCAATGGGGTCTACTCGGACTGGTTTGGCATCCGAAAGGGTGTCAGACAGGGCTGTGTTATTTCCCCTGGCTGTTCAACCTATTTATGGACAGGTGTTTGCAAACTTTGAAAGATGAAGAATGTGGGTTAAGAATGGGCGAGTTAACCGTCAAATGTCTTTTGCATGCCGATGATCAAGTCATATTTGCGTCATCGGCGGCTGAGTTGCAAATGATGGTTACATTAATGAACTGGGCATTAAAAGAAAGGGGAATGAAAGTGAACGCAAGTAAGATGAAAGTGATGGTTTTTGAAAGAGAGGAAAGCAAAACGGTATGTGAAATAAGAATAGAAGGAGAGTTAATTGAGCAAGTGGATGAGTTTGTGTACTTGGGATGTGTATTTAGCAGGGATGGTAGATATGATAAGGATATAGAACGACGAGTAAATGCAGGGAATAGAGTGAATGGGGCACTACACTCTATTGTGAAGAACCAGAATGTATCAAAAAAGGCATATATGGTAATTCATAATGCTGTGTTAGTCCCTACTTTAATGTATGGTAGTGAAAGCTGGGTGTGGCAGAAGAAGCACGAAAGTAGAATAAATGCTGTAGAAATGCGGTCTTTAAGGAGTATGCTAGGGTTGAATCTGAATGACAGGATAAGAAATTGCATGATAAGAGATAAATGTGGTATGCAAGATGATGTTGTGACCAGGATTAAGAAAGGAATGCTTCGGTGGTTTGGTCATGTAGAAAGAATGAATGAGGAAAGAGTGACAAAAGAAATTTATATGGCAGATGTGAACGGCAGTGTCGGGAAGGGACGCCCTAGAAAAATGTTTATCGACCAAATTGGCGATATTTTGAAAATGGGCCACGTTAAAAGTACCTTTAACCGATGAGCATGTATGCGTAGATATATGAATGTAAAGGAGGCGAAAGAGGTATGTCAGGATCGTGTCAAATGGAAGTCCGTGGTCTCTGCCTACCCCTCTGGGTGACAGGCGTGAGTGTTTATGCTTATGCTATGTTTACATAAAACATAAGTAAATAAGTTATTTCAGACTAGTGAAGACATTTCGCGATATTCTAAATGAGAATAAATATAAAAATAAGGTTTTTACGTTATTTTGTAAGCTCAGTAACTCGAAAACAAAAATATTTAGAAAAATACTGACAAAATCAGTAAATAAAGCCGTTCTAAAACATTGTAGTATTGAATCAAAATAAATTTTGCAAAACTATCGAAAAGTAACCTTTTAAGTTATCAGAGCAAAATATGGTTAGCGTCTTTTTTAAAATAGTCGGTTTACTGTTCACTCTTTATATAAAAATACCGTTGAGATATTTGAGTTCTTTTAGGATATAGTCAATTTCTAAAATCAAATACAAAATAATCCCGACGATCAATTGGAAAATCTTAACGCAATAGAAAGCTATCGAATATAACAACAGTTGATTTAAACATTACTTTTGTTTATTCAAATTATCATCGCATGCACTCTGTAAGATCATCATGACAGGTGACTTTCAATGGTGAAAATCAACATAACACCAAACGCACTTCTAGTACTGCGTAGTATATACTGTTACATATACATACAGGATTATCGAAGTTGAATGAAATCTAACCTGCTTTCCAGAGAAGCAAAAGCAAAAGTAAGTTTGTAGAAATTACTTGTAGGTAAACTCTCTACTAACAAAATAATCTTGCATCTAGAACCAGCCTATCATTACCGACAAAAGTACCTTCAAAAATTTACGAACTTTTACCGCGACCATATTTGATTTTCTGAGTCTTGTCTCTTTTGAACTAGTCTCTTTAAACATTTTCAATTTATTATCAATAAATATTTATATGGCTTTAGATCAACATCCGGGATTGGTAATAGTTACATCCTTTCTTTAGAATTTTGATCCAGATAATTTAATGAAAAAACATACACATACAACGTAAATGACTGGCCAAACTTCATTTGATGGCGCTGCAAAATAATTTAAAAGCCGATTTTATCTCGTGAGAGGTATAAGTCTAAGAAAAGAAATAATACAAAGTAATATCCTTTAGAGTTAAGATGAGGCTAAATCAATAATTTTCTATAATCGCGGGTTTTTATTCTTTTTCACTAGTCCGTATAAGTTGACTAAACATGGACCTCTTTCTAGGATTATTCGCTTTAGCCTTCACGGTTGAAAGGCAAATAAGCAACAGCGATACCAACCCTGCTCGGATACATTTGATTCTGCTCCTCATCGCCAGTCCGAGCACCCTATTTCTAGCAACAGCTATTTCGTAATACAACCAGCTATCTGTAGCTATTTAATTTTGCATTGTTGCCACTTACGACACCCACGGTACGAAATGGGCGGATGGATTGCCTAAAGTAGTAAGGCTTTATGATGACTAATATTTTTATCATAAATGTTAGTGTAATAAGTGCAAAATCATCTAAAGTTCTATATAATTAATCTAATTAATAAACTATTGAAATATGTTTTTTTTTGGCAACGCGCGAACATAACATGAATAAATCGAATACACCAAGTTTAACTATATTATATATACTATAGTATTTGTAACTGCAAGTCTTTTCGAATTAGTGCTCCGTTTTATACAATGTAATAAATAATTTTATGTCTTTTACAGGAATCCCATAGTTCCATGCGATCAGCTACCATTTGTTAATTTAACTCTATGGAAAGATACAAAATAAGAAGAAAAATGTAAACGTAATGATAAGGTTTACTAGTTAACATATATTTTCAGAGATTTACAAACTGTAAGTTATATTATTTAATATATATTAATTTGAAACAACGACGCATTGCTGGAAACTCGACGTTTCATCCAATAATTATTTACATACAAATAATTGTAACTGTAACTATTAATCAATAAATTTCGTTCAAAATACAGTTTTGCATTTTTTTATCTTGCTGTCGCAGCTTTTGTAACTGGTACAGTTTGTAGTATCACAGAAAACTAGTCAGTGAATAGCTCACGGCTAGCTACAACTCAAAACCAGCCGAGCCAGCAACTGCAGCCAAGAGTAGTATCCGAAACTCGATATATCAGATAATCGTAGTTATTAAATAAACCTATCCTATGTTTCTTTATTTTTTATAATATTTTTTTTAATTTTACTATTTATCAGAGCCGTGGTAGCTCAGATGGTTAGCGCTCGCTGTAAATTTCACAATACGCGAGCAAACCGGGTTCGATCCCCGCCGGCACCAATGAAATTGTTAATTGCAATTTTAAGTACTGATTTACCACGTGCTCGCCGGTGAAGGAAAACATCGTGAGGAAACCTGCATGTCTGAGAAATAAGAAAAAAAATATTTCGAAGACATGTGAAGTTCGCCAACACGCACTGGGGCAGCGCGGCGGACATTTCCTTGCCCTAAAACCCTCTCAGAAATGAGAGGAGGCCTGTGCCCAGCAGTGGGACGTTTATAGGCTGTAACTTTACTTTTTACTTTACTTTACTATTTATCAAAGTTAGGTCTAGGTGAGAACGTACTAAAGGCGTTCAGTCAAAGGTGAGAACGAGTATGTTACAGGTCTTAATCAACGTTTCGTGCTTTAGTTGTCTTTTTTATAACTTAGAATCCCTTTCCTCTTTCCTTCAGCGACTACAGATTAATTATCTACAAATTTCTATCATTTAATACTTCGCTCTTTCAATCTCCAAAGTATTTATCAAACTTTACGCCTAGTAATTTTCACTAGGTACAAGGTTTGGTAAATATGGAAGATGCTTAAGTATTTCAAAGGCAGTTTCAATTGCAGCCATAGCAACGGCCAACTTGTAGGCCGGGGCATTATCTTGGTGAAATGCAGTTTCTCTTGGATTTATTTGCGCAATTTTTTAAGTGTTCGGCATAAAAAGTGTCCGTAACACGAGTTGTGTTACCAACTTTACCCGCTTACATTTACTTTTTTAAATTTGAGTTAGTTTCTATCATTTTTCCACATATTTGAATGAACCCTCGTAGTAATAGATATTCTTAAAGATCTAATGAAAACGACGACTTTACATATTATATACATCATCCAATTCGATCGCAGATACGTTGTCAACCTTGAGGACCAAGGTTCATTGTTGATAGTAAAAAGGATTCACTGTTCGTCACTAATCTTATGAAAACTACGACGTCTGCTCAGCAATTCGAATGTAGATAGAACAGGCCGACTGATAGTTCTGTTGAAGAATTAGTTTCCTAACATCCTAGACTCGGCAAGGATCTTTGATACATTATCTATCTCTATCAATATTCATGAAAAAGTGATTACGTGTCTGACAGAATACAGGTTCTGAAGATCGAGAGGATGTTTAGTTCTGAAGCCAGCATTAATTTTTTGCGCCATGATTCAGGGCAGTATCCTAGTACCTCCATTATTTTTAATTTATATAGGTGGTTTATCTAGATTGAATATTAATAATTTAACAAAAAGTAAAAACCGACTTCAAATTGTTAAAAATGAAGTTATTTATTTGCAACCGTTAGAGGTGGTATTTTTTCTAAATTTATAGTAGACCACCCATGAAGTATAACATATTTAAGAAAATAGGAATCATTAAAATCGGTTCTTTATTTGTGAATAAATCATATGAAATTCCTTAAACAATATGATACTATTTCCCCCATTTTCGGAATTTATTCTTCAAAATTTTATGGGACCATCCTTGAGGTAAAGCCTATTTAATAAAAAAGAATTATTAAAATCGGTTGACTAATTGCGAAGATATCGCGCAATATATGTTCAAAAAAAAAACATACACTGGAATTGAGAAGATCCTCCTTTTGAAGACGGTTAAAAACGGTAACGTACTCGTTTATGCAGATTCTAGATTCTTTTCATACTTGGTATATTATAGTTGTAGCACAAATGGGTCGGCTCGACCGGGGAAGGACCACGTTCTTACAGAATACCAGCGTAAAATAGCAGCATAATACTGCTTTGTTTCGTATGGTAAGCGTAGAGAACCGGAGACCCATTTTACTGAATATACGGTCGCTAACATGAATCTTCAACAGACAAACAAATAATAAAATATAAACATGTCATCGTGCAATGCAAAGAAGTGTTCTAAACCTAAAACTAAAAGACAAACACAAAAACAACATTCGCAAGACAGTTAATGTATCAGCCGTATTACCTCACTTCCAAGAACTGAAGTAGAAGTGTGAAGGCCATGTAGCACGATCCACTGATACAAAATAGTCTAAACGGGCAGCCATGTGTACATAACCAACAGGCAGACGCAAACAAGGTAGAGCGAAAGAAAAGTGGTAAAATTTAAAATTTTCTACAACTGACTTCAATATAAATAAATTAGTACATCATCAACGTAGTCGAAGTCAATTGAATACCTATTATTAAGGATAGCTCAAAAACTAATGGTTAGATCTTGATCAAATTCATATGGAACTACATGAAAGGTACCAGGTTTCAAATAAAAACATCAAAATCGGTATACCTAGAAAAAAGTTATGAGGTAACACACTCAAGAAATACAGTCGAATTGAACTTATTTTTTATTTGAAGTCAGTTGAAAAATTGTGAAAGAAGGTTACAGTAGCGCATAACCGGCGAAAGTTGGAAAAGATGGAAAAAGCCTTTACTCATAGCGGGCTCCATAGAGATATATATTATTATATTTTTATAGGAGATGAGGCAAACGAGCATATGGCTCACCTGATGATAAATGATTACCGCCGCCCATGAACAAATATGTACCTAAGTCGTATCGGTCCGGAAAAATCTCTGGTGGTAGTCGATTCCACAAGGAAATTGTACGAGGAATAAAACTTCTTTTAAATATTTTATTTTCTAAGCATATATATATAATTGTTTTTGTTAATATTTTCTATCAAGAAATAAAGAGGCTTTATTATGGTTCTTTATTTAGTCCCTAGACTTGCCGTGTATGTTGACACGCGCTGTGTGGGGGTTTATTCTGTTCTACTACCTTAGATATAGCCTGTGTCACATTCATTGTCATTCTGTAATTCAATTTAACTGAAAAATACTTATCTTTATACATATTTTCGATCACTCTTTATATATTTTTATTGCATTTAAAACTAATATTGTAAAAATATTATAAAATAGAAACGGTATTAAAATTACTTTAAGCAATAGCTATCTGACGTACCGAATTTGAAATTTTTTGTCTGATAGGTGCAACACACAATATTTAATGTACAAAAGAAAAACTAATATAAGTATATGTACAATTTAATTAAGATAGAGGGGTGTCTGGAAATACATATAATCTGAAAAATAATCTGATAAATTATTAACAATTGCATTTTTTTAAATTATTAATATTTAAAATACGTTTCGTCTACGTTTGTTTCCCATCCTATTATAATGTTTTACTCATAATCAATACCAAAATTTATAAAAATGTAGTAAGGTAACGGAACCCATAATGGACAGTTTAAGACCAATTTTTTATGTTTTCTACTATCTTTTGTTGATAAACGTTCATATGAATGCAATTGAGGTTGCAAGCGATTAAAGAACTTATTGGTAATAAGTTTATTTATTGAAAACTATACTATTCTTACTACTTTTAGAGATATACTTAAAAAAACAAAAGCATTTAAAAACACCAGTGATGGACAGGGTTAGTTCCAGTTTTGAACATCCAATATTGGAACAACCTCCAGGCATGAACATCTAGTGATGGACACTGAACATTTATGCAAGGAAGAAAATAAAACTTAATTTATATTAATCGGTCTTTCATACTTTTTATTGAGCACAAAACTATTAGTTTTTGTATTAGAAATATAAAAGCAAGTAAAATAATAAAGTCTAAAAGAAAAAATATCCGGTAAATATTTTCCATTTCCTTAATTTTATAGAACCCCCGCTTATTCAAGAGCAAAGGGTCATTAATTTTCTCTATAATATCTTTTACCGTATACCATATTTTATCTGGCTTATCTGGCCGTCTGAAAAAGTGTCCTGCACATAACACCGTTAGACTTATTTCGAATAAATTTCGTTCTGTTTTTTCTATTCTACCCGGAAAATATTCTCCCTCATATTTTACAATAAAGTAGGAGCCATTGGTAACACCTATATTTTTCTTCGTACACTAAGTTTTCTTGTTAGAAACTATTTTACTTAAAGGTTCATTTTCAGAGTCTGATTTCCCACTTTGAGCATATTCGGAGTCACCGCTTTCAGCATACTCAACTTCCATGTCATCATTGTCTTCATCGGAAAACAAATCTTGCTGCCTTATATTTTTCGTTAGTTTTTGTTTTTGTTGTTTTCTTTTCTAGAATCATCTTTTCCTTTAATATTTTTCTGTCTTTTCTTTGTTTTATTCATTTTTCTTTTTCTTCTTCCTTTTTTTCGTTTCATTTTCGATTTTTTTCATATAATATCGCCACGTTTCACTAGTTATAGCTTACGGTACACGCTCCTTGGTACGTTACTTAATTGTTTATTATTCTTTCCGTTATAAAATGTGCAAGGTTATATTACAATTCTTGATCTACTCCTAAAACACGAAACAAACAGACATTTAATAAAATATGCATAACTATTTCAGAAAAAACGTAATTGTTGAACTCACCAGCATCACGATGCTTACAATAATTTAGGATGTATTCAAATAAACGTCACGACCACGTTTTTGCACTCTTCCTGTGAACGAACAAAATGTCTCACGTACTGTAAAACGAA